TGTTATTACGAGTCGCCGGGCCGGACCGGCGAAGGACTGCTATGCAAAGGACCCTCGCCGGCGGCGGCGTTTGCATACTAGTAGATTAGTTCGCCGGGTTTCGCTGTAGTTTCGTCGCGCGTCTCACCCAATTCCGGGACGGGGATGAATAAACCAACAGCAACAGGTTAATCGCTAGCCCGGGCTCGCAAAACGCGCGCCGCAAACGTTAATCGTTTTATTACTACGCGCGTTCACCGTTCATCTCCAAGTTCGCGGGACGCGCGAAACGCGAAAATTGACACCGCGACGCATATCGCGCGCCCGTTATATAGCACGAGACGCGTTTATTATTTTATTAATCGAACACGATCCATCGTTCTCTCTTCCTTTGTCAAGCTTCGCCATCGCTGCTAATCAAAGCGTACAATTGGTGCGCGCACACACACACACACACAACAAATATATTTATATATAGTCCATTGTTATACGTTGCATTATTCGTAACGCCATCCCGAAAAATTTAACGCGATATTCTTATCGATTCTCGTATTGTGTAATTTGACACGACATATGTATGACATAGGGGATTGACGTGTCTGACAACTTGTTGCCCCTTGGATTTAACTTTATCGTCGAAAGCGTCCTCCGCTCGTAAAAAAATGCTTCGATGACAGTATGATGAATCGATTTGTTGGGATTCGTATCTCGCGGATCCTCGCTTTTTAAATTCGCGAATCTCTAATCAAAAAATCAAAAGTAACGGCAGAATGTAAAGCAATCGCTCAGAAACTTGAGAGATGAAATTTAGATTTTAATTTGTTCAATTCTCTCTAAAGAGAACTGGTTTATAAAGATCACAGTTGCACTCGACTATTCGAGTCCACTAAACGCGTTATTTTAAATTATAATCATAAAGAGAGATATTTTTCTTCGATTTTTTTTTTTTTTTTCAGAGATGTGATAAATCTGAAGTCTCCATTTTATGAGATATCATTATGATTGACGATACAAACGGACCACCGCTGCGCTTTGTTTTTGCGAGGCATGCCGCGTCGCGCATTTGTGCATTGAAGCCTGTCCGACTATTTACCTGTTCAAAAACGTATCTCGTTTTATTTTTTTTAATCGTAGCTACCTGCTACGCCAATGAAACGCTCGCCGACCTTCGAATCGGAGCCTGACCGTTTTTGTGTATCGTGCCGGTAGCCCGGAGAACGGGCCCCTCCTCTCTCTCAAAGAGTGGAAATAAACCTGGAGAGGAGGTGTACACACAGAGAGGAGAGGACTCCTAAGAAAGGATGGAAGGGAACAGCGGCGCGAGTAGTCAGGAAGAAATGTATGGTAGGAGAGTAACGACATACTCTACAGAGTGATTCATAAGTCTGCTCGCACAGGCGATGGTGTCCGATAGCTGAATCATTAATAGTTTGCCGTAGCGCGAAATAAGCGATTTTTATGAATATTGCCTTTGTTAGGAACGTTGAACATTCTAAATGTTTCTTTAAAATTCCCGTCCTCTCATCGCGTTAGAACGAAGGTATACGGATATCGATATTGCGAGAGTGCATCTATCATGATTGGTGCATATTACGCATCTAATGCATATATATATATTTCTTTATATGATAATCTTCGATTGATTATTGACGTTTTGAAAGATCCAGTCACACGATAACATTAGCGCCTTCGATATTGCGAAATCGATAAATTCGATGGTTATACGAATAAAAATACAATTATCGAGCGTTAACGACGATACGTATTCTACGTGTAAAAGGAATAAATTATCACTGATGTGAGCCAAAAATCAAAGCTTGCCTTATATCGAGAAGCGTCCCTTTTTTCTTCTTCATATAAGGCACAAGCTCGATTTTTAAAAAATATCTTTAATAATCGTCTCAATTTAAGATTGCTTTCCTTACGATACGATATGATTGTCGGTTTATAAATCTTTTTCCCCTCTTGCGGACTTAAAAGCTCTCGACTATTGATTCTCATCTCAACTCGTAATATACGCAATTAACGAACGCTCGTTTGGTATACGCAAAGTTAGATACAATTGTATATATAATTTTGTAAAGCGATTGTGCAGAGAGTATATAGTGAACAAGAGACAAAAAGAAAATGTGATCGATCGATTAATACGTAGCGGTGTGCCATGATCTTTTACGAACGTTAGTCGCGGCATGTAAAAAATTTGCACGGGCGATAATTGACGAGTAAAAAGTGAAATCTCACCACGTCCAATCCGCATAGGTGAAAACGTGAGCTGACGCGTCGCGGCAATCAAATATCTACATAGATATATATATATGTATATACGTACATTTTCAGGAACTTTTAAACTACGCCAAGCGGAAATCAAATACGAAGGATCATGGTGACTTTCTTTACATTGAAGAAATATCGCTACAAATTTATGACACATGATACATACACAAAATATACATATATACATATTAATATAAATAGATCATCGTACAGATGCTCCGAGAACATTGCAGGCATCTTCCACGCTCTACCAAAGAATACGTAATTCAGTGTGACTTATAGAGAGAGAATATGAATAATATAATAATAATAATAATAGTGATAACAATAATAATTATAATAATAATAACAATATTTACATTTTAATGACCGTTTTCAAGTCGTTTTCTGACGTATCGATAAGACAATGCAAAGAAGTGACAATCCCGAAAGATGGTTTTCGAACAAGCCGGAAACAATTTTATCGACAAGATAATAGCGTTGCGTATTTTACTTTATCTTAACTCGATTTATTTTATATGTGTGTTTTTCTCTTCATATATTTATCACACGCGAGAAATACTAATTTTTCGTGTGAGCACATATACGCATTAAGAATTTTAATATATATATTACGTGTGTGTATTGCCATAATTTTCTCTAGAAAGTGAAAAAGATGTTTGATCAGCTTCCGACTTCGATCTTTCTGATTGCAAATGCGACTGTAGTATTTAAACATTCGTTATAGATTACAACGCGAACCGAACGCAGATTCGGCCTGATTTCCTTAATCTTGAAATACGCGAGTGATTTTTTCATCGAACGCATATACTCTCTTGTGTTGTATAGACTTTAATTACTTTCCGCAAACACAACGACATAGAAAAAAAAAAAAACTCAGCCCACTGTTTCCGACTGATCTTAAATCGGTCTTTTAACACGGATTGCTCGACTCTTCAGCGCGCCACAATGTTTTTCATCCTTTTTCAATAAGACGGTTTCCCTCGTGAGATTGCACGCGGTTACACGACACGTGTCACTTAATCAAAAAAATGTTATACGTATTATATATAGATGCGCGTTACATGAGAGACGGTAAAGTATTGGGACGCACGGATAACTAACTTCCGGAAATGTACAATTGCGCGGCGTCATTATCATTATTATTATTATTATTCTCGTATACCGGACGCGCCGGACCAATTAAAACCCGGGGAGAGAGAAATCTGCCCGTCCGGCGATGTGTTATGTCGTGACTCTGTCGATCGAAATTACATAATCGAAATTTGACAGACGCGTTAACGCACGTGTGTCGCAATACTATGTCGTTCTCGCGTACGCGTTTCTCGGTATACGCTAAACGATTAAACAAATGGGAATCACTAGTGTGTGTGTGTAAATAGAGAACCACGGGTTCTGTAATTTTACAATTCTTGAGAGTGACCGAGAGAGAAAGAGAAAAAGAGAGAGAGAGAGAAAGAGAGAAAAAAAGACATACGAATGTTCGTCAGAATAATAATAATGATAATTCACACACATACACACAAATATATTGCGTATCTCGCGCCTAGTAGACTGCAAATAGTAGTCGTTTGAAAGTCCGAACGTCGTGTTTTGGGGGGCACGAACAGGAAGTGTATAGTGTTTACTTGCAGCAAGTCCATACATCGACGGAAGTTTTGCGTCGCTTTCCGGACAATTACTTTTGTGATTTATTTGTATTATAATCGGAGGAGCGTCAAAAAGACAGGCACTCGGTGTCCGAGAAACCCCGTAAAAAAAAGTGAATTAAAAAAGAAATTGATAAATCGAATGATAAACATAGCTTGCAAGAGTAGCTTACGAGAACGATTGGAGAAATAATCCTTTTAATATCTTTCGCGGAATAAAGTATAATGATATAATAAAGTGCCGGATGTGGAGAATTAGAAAGAAGTTTGTTCTCTCTCTGTAACGAGATAGAGTCTTAATTTTTATGAAAGAATTCTCCGTTGAAAGGATTAAAATGGATTGTGTGGGAGAAAAAATGATAAATTTTCAATCTCCGGTAAATTTGTATGCAGAAATGTGTATGTATGGGAAAATCAATTTCTTTAAATTTCTACCTTTTTTTACGAAGGGGGAAAGCTTTATTCAAAGTCCAAAGACACAGAACAAAAACAAAAAAGTAGCCAAAGTCGTTTTCGCTCTTCGATAATTATATGAGTAATTGTCTTTTGTTTGACAGAAAGCGATGCAGAAAGTTGGTCGCGTTGTATCTACATATATTACTCCGCATACCTTGTTATTCAGCAGCAGTTGAACAGATGAATATGATTTATTGCAGAGAACCGTAATACCACAAGTGAAACCGTTCTAAGTATATTTGTTATACACACATATTGTTACCATTGCCACATGAAAGCAATTATTAACTCCATAGTCTGGGCCATTGTTAGACGAACGAGAACTCGGGACTGTTTCTTGAAGTAGGATTGCTTACATAAAGCTGAAATTATTTTTTTTTAATATCCGTGTGTAATTGCGTCCCCTTTTAGAATGTAATAATTATTGTCCGAAGGACAATTAAAATAGAGGATTTTCAAAATCTAAGAAACAAAAAATTTCGCGAGAACTTCAACAATCGGATTTTAAGCGCAAAAGAAAAATGCTCGCATCGCGACACGTTTTAATTTTTTTCTAATTATCTAGGAATAATTTTCGCGGTTTAATTGTAATAATTGTGCTTCCCTACAATTTCGCGTATTACTTCTTTTTAATGGTCGATATTTTTTTTTTTTTTTTTTTTTTTTTTTTTTTTTTTTTTGAACGGACGCACGCAATCCTACGTCAAGGAAGAAGACAAAGTTGCAGGAAAGTATGAGACAAGTTATCGTAATAGCCGCCGATTACTCCGTAACAATGGCAACGCCCGTACGTATGAAGTCTGTAATCGAAATGCTTTATATTTTTACACCGAACAAAGCAGTATATAACGTACAATAAAACAATAAAACATGTCCTTCCATAACATGCAACCTCAAGATGACAAATGTTAAATTTTTATTTTTACAACAGCCCACTATCACTTCCGATATCTGAGCTATATATTTGGGCGTATAATTATATAGTTGAGATTATTAATTAGGATATTATAAAGTCGGCTAGATTCATTTTAATCGACTCACAATTTTACGATTTCTACACGAATGATCGTCTACTGTAATATACGCATTATACGATACGTATACATATGTTAGTGATATTATACCGTGCGACGAGATGCGGCCGTTAATCCGCGATCATCAAAAATTACGAAAGTGTTAATTTCTTCACGAGACACTCTTCTGCGAAATTGTGCGAAACGAGCTGGCCTGTCCAAATAGATATAGTTAGCGTTCCATTCGTCCGTTGTCTTCACAGCACCGATTGTATTATATTATACATTGACGCTAGTTAATTCCGAATATCTTCAAAATCGCGAGATGTGTATGCGCTTCGAAGCGAGGAAATCAAAAAAAAAAAAAAAAAAAAAAGGAAGAGAAGCAAATGGTACCAAAGGCGAATGCACGCGTTTAACTTTACGATCGACACAAAATGTACATATGTATTTATCTAAAAAAAAAAAGAAAATAATAATAGGTATACGAATGCGCACACACACGTACATACTTACGCAAAGGTTTCCATGCCGAATACCGTGTGTGTTAAATATTTTTCTCTCCGACGTATTAATTCTTTCGGCTATTTCATACGCAAGATATAAAATCAAACGAAGAGCGAGATATCGATGTAATTTCGCGTGCGCGCGACAGACTTTGATGTGCTCCAATGTAATTTAAATCAACGATGACCGATTGAACAAGCATCGATCGAATCTCGCGAGATTAAAATACGCAACGATCGTTCGATTCGGGATTCCAATGAATGCTCGCGTCTCGTGCGATTTCTTTTCGAGATAATCTCTAAATTTAACGGAAAGAACGTCACGCGATTAAAACGTGGAATAAGAGTTTTATATTATTTAAACGGCGCGAGAGAGCTACTTCGAACACTGTCGAGAGTCACGCGACTTTACGTGGGGCATCCTTCTTTTAATCAGAATCTCTTCGCAGAAATTTCGGCGTTCGAGCGAACGTTGACAGAATTAAAGCTGCAGTTCTGTTTAGTTTTTCATATACTTCGTTGATAAAAACAACTTCGGAATATATAATCCATCCAAGAGATAAAAGTTAGCTAATGCGAAGTCGTTACATGGCAAATGTTTGCGTACAAGACATGTCTTTTCATCGGCAACGGTCATTGCTGTTGTATTATCTGGTCGATCAACTTACAGTGTTTTATCGAGGTAGTTTTCTCATCCGATAAAACACTGTGCACGATTTTTATTATAGTATAGATATATCGTCGTATTTTTTATTTACATGATTTTTACATATACAGGTTGTATCGAAAGTCTCGCGATTTTTCACGATTCTCCGACGAATTTGGGATTATACGAATTATTTATTGCAAATCAAGAGGAGTTTTGGCGATTTAGGTCATCGAGATATATAAATGAATAATAAAATCTATCCTTCGAGATTTTCCTGGCAAACTCTTGAATTGCGATCTAAGGTACAATTGCAAATGTAAAAAATATTACGATCGATTAAATTTTAATCGAGAATTCTTTTCCGCTAACTTGGAGGAAACGCGCGACTTTTGATACGATCTGATACGTTTGACAGTATACGTTAAAAAGAGACAATTTAAACATATATAGTCGTGGGAGAACACCGGCGGACGAATCAAATGAAATTCACATTTTTTAGAACGCCTCTGTAATATGTACTAAGAGAACAACAACCGTACTTACTTGTACGTGAAAGTATACGTATCCGGGGGAAGGAAACTTCAAATATCCTCAAATCGCGACGGAATTTTCTTCGTACGGATGAAGCGAAGCGTCGCACCGCGCCACAAAATTGGACATTTTGGTCGAGAACGGTATGAAGGGAGGTATCGATATATCGAATCTACGACTGCGCGCGAAAACGAAGAGGAGAAGACTAGGAGGAGGGTAGTGCGCGCGTTGATTTGAAAGCCTGAAATTAATAATCAAAATTAAACGACTGGCGAAACATGTGATTTACTATTTTATAAAAAAAAAAAAAAAAAAAAAATACGGGGTCGGCCCTTAGGTAATTTAAAACAAAATTTGTGAAAAAAAAAAAAAAAAAAAAGAGATAAACCGAGGAAAATTCCCTTGTGAGAGAGTACGAGTGTGTATAAATAAAAAGATTTTTAAACATTATCGCGTACGTTTTCATCGTATCCGTTTTCTCATCCGAACAAAATTGCGAAGTCCTTTTCGTTTCTAAGTTATTTATTTCGCGTGTGTCGAATCGTTGGGACTTTGTTCGTAATATTATTAGCCGTTAGCAGAGAGATAAACATTTTTCTCGAGTAATTAAAAATCTTCAGAAGAAAAAGAACCGCGAATCGTTCACAGGAGAAAAAGTTACATACCACACGCTTACTGGAAAACACGAATATAAAATGTATTTCAAGACGTTTTCATGCAAAGCTGATGAATGTTTTACGTGTATTAAAAAATGTTCCCTTTTAATCCTATTAAAACTTACAAAATATTATAAGTATTATACTTTACTTGTATATATACATATGTGATAAAAAAAATACATATATATATATCTATATATACATCTTGTTCTTGTGCGTAAAATTTATATTCGTGACCTGTTCTCCGTAAAGCAAGTGTATACATTGAAACATATTATATGTGCATAGTTAATTCGTAATATAATGCAGGTATATATGTTAAAATCTTGATACCGTGACAAGTATGATACCACTACGAATAAATTTGCAAATAAAAATTTTATATATTTACAGAAAAATATATATTTTTGACTGTCTACATATTTTTATAATTTGGGTCTTAGAATTTTATCAAGTCTATGCTTTAATATTAAATTAATAAAATGTGAAAAACAATTTCAATATGTGTGCAAAAACATAGAAAAGATATAGATAAAAATTTTATGTTCTATTATTTTAACAGGAATGTGTGTATTCATGTAAAATGTATATTTAATATTGTACATATCTTAATTATACTAACCTACTCAATTTCACTTAATGTAGAAATCGTTTTAGCTTTTGTAGACTTCATTACGAAGTAGAATGTGTATTGTATGACTGCTTATCACAGCTCTGCAATAAGATATAAGTTTGTACATGTTCAGTGAATTGGCAAATACGTTAGTAATTTTTTAGATGGGAAAACTTTGCAAGAGTTGTTTATTTTAAACATATAGTTTCTTAAATATCGTTCGATGGCACCATATCTAAGCCGGAAGCCGTACTAACGCTAGGTAAACTACTGTCACTCCAATCAGGATGTGGATAATCCCGTAATGGACTCGGTACATTAACAGGTATCCTATTGTGTATATCATATCCTTGCTTCCTCATGTCAGAAACCATTGGTTTAGTAGCTGTAACATTTTCAAGAATTTTCGATGTATTACGACAAAACGAATTTTTTGTATTATCTTTTTGTCTTTCCTCAAATCTGGAAAACTTTCTCATTTTGCACATATTCTCTTTATTATGCCTTTTTTTTGAGGAATGATGTAAGCATTTTTTTGGAATCACATCGTTCACATTTCGATAAGGAAAAATATTATTTTTATTATTGTTATGCACTACTGTTCCTTTATCGTTCATAACTGTCAATATAATATAATACAATATAATATATGACCTAAATTATGAATCGAAATGATTTAATAATAACATTTTCGCTATTATATAAAGTAAATTCAAATAGACTTGCCTTGATTGTGGTCGGGGATTATAGTATGCGATGATTCCCCGTCGAGTAAGCTAACAAATTCCAAACGGGCTGAATCTCTAATGGGTATGTCTTTATTTAGGGTAACATGTTCTTGAGAGGCATGTTCTACTGTAGAAACATCTGTTAAATCGTGCCAGGATTTATTAGAGTGACCGGAAAAACTTGACGTAGGAGATGAATATGCGAGCCCTGTTTGGATAGCCGATACTTGAGAGCTTGTACTTCCTTCGTTCGCAAATACTTCATTTAAATTTCTTAATTTGAGTTTTTCAATTTGATTTTGTAGATCTCTGTAATATATAAATTGATAATACATCGATTATATATGATTTTTAAATAGATAAGTGTCACAAATATGTTTTTCAATTCACTGTGATGGATTCATTGATTGTTGTGCAATTTCTATCATTAAAAATTGCGCATCCACGAATGACATCAAAAATTTGTAGAGACACATGCATATACAAAGAACTAACAGAAAAATACTAACATTATTATTTTTTGATATTCGATGATTAACGTATCCTTGTAAGAAGACAATTTTGAAAGTTTATCTTTATCCATTATCAGATATTCGTTAAGTCGTGCAAGTTCTGTTTGCTTAGTCAATTCTACTTTTAAATCTGAGATTATTCTTTCATTGTCTTCAATTTGTCGCTTTAATGCTGATATTGCTTCATCTTTAGCTTTTGTTACACGAGTTACTTCTGCCAATTTTTGCGTAAGCACCTCTGCATGGAGTACAACCTCTTTTTGTTTTTGATTTGCTTCCTGGATTTGTGTATCTTGCTCTCGAATTAAACTGATTTGAAATAAAACAGAAAAGTTTAAAAACTGAAACTAAATTCCTGGTTTCCCCCATTATTATTGATGTATTGTACATCAAACCTTTGAAATTTTTCTCGTTCTAACACCCACGATTTGCACAAAGCCTTCATTTGTTTACTAGACTCCTTTAATTGAAGTGTACCAGCTTCTAGCGTGTCTATTTTCAAATCCTATAGAAATAAATAATAGAATATATATAATAAAAATGGAAATTTGACAAAACTTATAAAACATGCAATGTTCATAAGTGCATGTAAATTGCAAAACACTATATACCTCAGATATTGGTTTTGCAGAGCTTACAGGTATCCTGAACAGTACTTGTTCTATTTCAGTAAAGATTTCACAAGTTCTATCATCTTTCTTCATAACTAAATCCTTTAATTCTTTTATTAAAAAGCTTAATGTATGTACTGGATTAAATTCAGCAAATCTATTGGTATTATTGGATATTTCAGGACATTGTACGGCACGATCTTGAACAAAGATACATGAGGCTTGTGAATTCTTCCTCGATTTCTCCCGAGAAGATATTCCTTTGGATGAAATTGTACCAGTATGTTTTTGGACATGCTAAATATAAGAAATAATTCAAATACAAAATCGAAAACACCTATAAATGTTAAGATCATACTTAATGTATAATACTCACATTACATCCATTTTGCTGTATCCTTTCAGAATTTGAATTCTTGTTGGTATCTTTATTTTCGCTATGTTTAAAGGATTGTGCTTTCATATATAATAAATTCTGCTCTCCAAATATGGAACCCCAGCTTGGTGGTATTTCACTATTACTGGTTGCAGACTTTTTTCTTTCAGTTTTCTGTCCAGGACTAGAAATTATAGGTGAAGTATGTTTCTGACCTTCAGCTTTTCTATTCCTTATTACCGTGACTTCCACAATATCCCCTTTACTGAGTAATAAAACTTCTTTGGCAGGGCTTGCTGTTAAGGGCTGCATTGAAATAAGAATTATACAAATGTATTATGATAGATGATTTGTGATAGAAATTGTATTATAAGGAATTTTGTAAGACCTTATGTCCTGCATCATGTGTTTTCAAAGTTTGTGGATGCTTTCCAGTTTTTTTGTTCGTAGCAGTTATCCTCGCAGGTGTATTTGTTTTAGTGCTCATTGTGTTACGTTGATTGCTAGACGTCGTTGCATATTCTTTTATAAATATTGTATCTATGTGGTTTTACAAAACTCTATAGAAATATGAAAAAATGAAAAATATTATTTCGATGGTGACAGATGATTGATGTTCTAATCTACGCGTCTAACCTGAAGATACAAAAATACAATTTTATATATTACCTCCGCAGTAGAGATTACAATATTTAGAATCAATATTAGAGAGAAAAAGAGAAATAGCCGGATTATTAGGTATTTGATGTATCTGAAACGTGTTTTCGGAGCATTATATTAGGTGAAGTTTCCATAAAAAACACGCGCCAAAAAATTCTCTATTCTACCGGTGCAGCCTTCCACCAATGGACACGTGAGTGACTAGTGATCCACATACGATCGAGTTCACTGTTGTAAGATGCGTTCGAAAAACTTACCCATAGAATAAAGTAGGATTTTGATTGACCAATCAGACCAAATAAATTTTTGGTCCTTTGTCCTGATTGGTCAATTAAACGCTACTTTACCTTATGAGTAAGATTTCCGATCGCACCTCGAATTGTCGGTGAGCCGCGCGCGAACGGCGTGGCCGAGATATATGTTCATTCCAGTGTTCGTTCAATTAACGATACGTACTGTGAACGTGTCGCAAGTCGCAATACGGAAGATGTGATTGTATCGTCTTTCACGCGTGATAACGCAACACTACGCAGGTTGCTTCGGGAGCGCGAGGTCGACGCGCACATATACAAACACACGTATATATATATATATATATTCGACGAGAGACATAGCAGTATTTAAGTTGACGTTCGTAGTGCGTGTGATTCCGATTTCGTTCTTGTAAACATGGTGTTTGGATTCATCATGAAATAATTGTTTTTTTTCCCTTCACGAGATCGATCAGCGTGCGAGGAACGGACGCGAATCACCGAACCGAGGTCCGAGAACAGTGGTGTATCATGTGATTCTTACATCGTGAATATCACGAAAAAGTATGGGCACATCTCCGTTATACGGTAAGCTTACTTGCTCTCTGCCATTAGAACGCCCCTCTTTGTGAATTTCGCGTTTTGAAAAATTTCAATAATGCAACAATTATCGAGCATCCTTATCGATTACGTAGTCCCGCTACTACTTGCTACTTCTCGTGATAACGCGATTTCGTCGCAACTTTGTCCCTATGTATGTACTATTGTCTCGATTACCGCTATCAAAAATTATGTTAGATCGTGTGGTTATTTTTATATCCGATCGTTGTTTATGTTTCATTTGAGAATTTTCGGTGTTGTTGCATTCTTAAAGAAATTATATTGTATAAACAACGTGATTGATTTATTCATATTTTTCACCGGCATTTGCAACGAATATATCGTTTACTAGGTTATGACACTTTTTATAAATACACAAGTCGCTATATATAGATATTATAAATTTATTATGAAATTATTATAATTTTTTTTGCTGAACAGGGAAACACTGTATGATTTAGTAATAAAGTTGGAGTATCTTGGTACTTTACCATGGAACAATCGGACACAGTGCAGATGCAAATTCTTCAAGTCGAAGAGATACCAACAGATATCAATGTGCAAACAATTCAAATCGCTAATGAAGATGTGAAAGCTGCTACCTCTACAGAAGGTAGCCAAGATTCGCCAAAGGCCTGCAGCCCATCGTTAGAACCTACATTAGTAGCAGGTGATACAAATATCAATGTAGAAGTCGTAACAGAGGATTACTTGGACGCAAGCCATATTGATGTATCTGTTAAAGATATTAACAGCGATGCCGGGTATAATAATCAGGTAGAATCTGAATTGAACCAGCCTGAAACAAAAGGTTATACATTAGAACAGGAACAGATCAAAATCTATGAACATATAAAGGATGAAACAATAGATTCGAATCATAAATTGCAATCTTTGCGCACTGAGGAAGATCAAAGTCAAATTGTGATAACTGAATCTAAAATAGAAGTAAAGCAGGAAACAACAGATATTTTAGAAAGTGTCTGTAATGTAGTAGAAGATGCAAATCAATCCGATAGTATAGATAAGCAATGTTTAACATTAGATGAATCTAGATTTAATGAACATGCTGGGGGCCAGGTTCATGATGCGCATGAATTAGTTAAAGAAACAATCAGAGAAATACATGATAATGACAGTAACCAAAATAGCTCAATAGTAACAGATGCTGAACTGACTAAATTAGTACAAGAGGAAGCAGAGGTAGTTGTAGTAGTAGAAACTATAGAACCAACAACAACAGATGCAACAGCAGACAATTTTATTGTCACTCTAGATGAAAAGGATGTTGATAAAGAGTGCAACCAAGAAAATGTAGTTACTTTACAGGAAAAAGAAATTAAAAAATCCAGGCATGGAGACAACGAGATTGATCTAATTGATTACAGCCAAGAAAGCGACGATACTATAATAGAAGTAACGGAAGTTATAGATGCTCCAGTTACGGAACAGGATGAGCAGCAGAATAACAAGGCCAAAGTGGAGAATAATGAATATCATATAGAATCTGTAAAATTAACTGATGAAAAAATTGCAATTTGCAAAGATATAAATGACGAAAATATTCAATCAAAAGCAGCTGACGGAGAAACTCTAATCAGTTCTAGTAATAAAGAAGATGATATCACTATTATCATAGATGAGAAAATCATAATCACGGAAGATGTTGATTCAGAACTTACAACAGATCAGCCACAAATTGAAAATGCCCATGAAGATATTGCAGATACTACCGAGCATAAACAAAATGACACATCTGCTCACGAAATACCGGTGGAGTCGTCGATGAAGAAGAGAAGCGTTATTCAAGATATTTTTGACGATTGGGGTGTCGAGAATACAGACGAAGATGCGCAATCGACTTCGAAAGTGCATGATACTGTAGAGATCGAATTGAAAAGTCTATTGGATGAAGCAAAATCAGATCAAGTTGTTACAAATGAATCTGTTCAAGATAAGACTCCATCCTCAAATAAAGAAACCACAGATGAGATACATAATGTCGTAGATACAAGCGAGAAGAGTATCAAGCATTCGACTGAACAAACGGAAAATCAAAAGAAAAATAAAGCGGTCGATCAAGATGCAGAGTCATTAAATAGGAGTGAGAAGAATTCTCCGGCATTAGCGGCGGATAAATCTTCGCGAAGTGTAGAGACGCGTGCCTTTAATAAAACGCCGCAATCGCATATCGCCACGTCGCTTCCTAAGAACCGNCGGCATTTAACCAGTCAGATAGCATCGCCAGCGGAAGTGACGGAGGTATTGAAGGAGCGTCTTCGCGAGAAGCAAAAGACGGTTGTAGACTCACCGCGTGGTCCGGACATATTCTTTGTGAAGAAATTAACGCAAAGATTGTCCAATAAATTGGCGGGTAGCTCGGTGAATCCGGTACCAGGGCTTATACCTCTGCCGCAGCAAGCCACTCCTTCCTCTCCTCCTTCTGCATCTTTACAATCGACGGTAGATAACTGTGATAAGAAGATAGCGAATGAGACAACGGAAACGAGTAAGGAGAGTAATTCCGACAACAAGGAACTATTGGCAATCTTGGAAGGCGATGTTGATCCCGATTGGTCCATCTTGAAACCTCCGACTCTTACGGAGGAAGGCAAAACTCCACCAAACGTAGGATCGCAATCAGATCATAGTGGGCCGCCGAAACTCGATCCATTAGTCGAACGGGAATTGGCGCTGAAGCAACTTCTTGAGTTGCCCGTAACGTCACCTAAGAAGATTTCACCTCGGAAGAAGAAAACTTTCCGAGCGGCACCTGGTAAAGTGTCTAAAGACGTGGAAATCCCACTCGCCATACAGGAGGAGAAGGAACTTGCCGGTATGGATTCGGCAAGCGAGAATGCGCAACCAAATACCAAATCTGTCGAGATAAACCTATGTTCTCCGCAAAAGAGCGATCAAAAAGATCACGGAATTGAAAAAGTAGTCACACGAGAAGAATCGAGATCGGGTAGGAAGCGCAAACCTACTGAAAAAGCGAGAGAACACGAGCAGAACACGATAAAACGGCAGAAGGTGTATAGGGGTAAACTATCATTGAGTAAGAAACAAACGCAGGAAAATATCTCTGATGAGAACACGACGATCGAGAATCATGTCGTGGCGAGCGACGCGCTGACGGATGCTGTAAATAATGAGAAAACTGTTGCGAAAGAAGTAGCAAATAAACCGGTCGAGGATAAAATAGATCCGATTTCGAATAAAATCGAAGGTTCTCGTCCGAAACCGAATCTTGCTAAGAAAGGCTCGCAACCTATCGCCAAGAGAAAGATAGTGGTCAAAAGATTGCTGCGTCAGAAGATGCCGGCTAGTGAAAAATCCGTTCGGTTGAAAGGTAAATTGACTCCTTCACCAAAGAAATCTCCCCCGAAGACTGTTTCAAAGTCGCAGAAGCGAACGGCCGAAAGTGCTTCTAGCGACGCGAAACCCAAGAAGAAGATTATAAACGAGATAGATAGATTACTGCAAGACGAGGGCGTCGTCAATTTACTGTACGATGTAGAACAACCGGACAAGAAGCGTCTGGTACCTATCACGAAGTCGCGTGCGAAGGTAATGGACCTGCAAAAGGTACAGCGCGAACTCAAAATCAGAAAGAAATTAGTTCGCAATGCCGTATTGCGATTACGCACATCGACGATCGCCGGTGTCACGAAAGTATCACCGAGATCGAAAAGAACGGCGATTCATCCAATTGATGTTCAAATGGACAGAAAGGTAGGAGAGCTAATCGCGTCACCGAAAACCTCTGCCTCGCCTACGGAGTTCATACTTCCGGCAAAGATTAGAAACGCGGCCGACGCGTCCATCATTATCAGGAGGCACTCGTCCAGTTCGTTCTCGAGCGCGTCCGGAAGTCCCAGAGTTAGCGTCGACGCGCCAGAGAAACCAGCGGAAACCGCCAAGACGGACGACGGAGCAGTTCACTCCTTGAGATCCGCCAAGAAGAGACGAGATTCGCAAGACGAGAAAATTATTAACGCAAAGAAAAGCAAGAAGAAAACAGTACAAAAGTCTGACCCAGATTCTGTTGCAGCTACTACTGGTACCATCAGTACTGCTACTACAATTACCACGACTACTAATGCTAATGCTATTCATAATGTGGACGAGAAGATCACTGTCGCTGCGCGTCCCAGTAAGAAGTCGGAAATCAAAAAGATCGACAAGACTGGTAAACAACAGGAAAATGTCCACACGTTTGAAGATAATGTTTCGAGTAAAGTTACGACTAGGTCGTCGAATGGCGCAGTAACGGGGAAAGTAACGGCGAAGAGCAGGCGTGCCGCGAAAAGCAAAGTGACTTTTGTCGGCAGGGCAAATGATCCGGATAATGCTGAAAACTCTTCTAAAGAGGAGGACGAATTATCCGCTTGTCTTGCTGAAGCGGCCACCGCTCTTTCGATCGTCAATGCCGGCGGTCGATCTGGAAATGTTACGTCTACACGAAAAAGCAAAGGTAAAAATTTCTATATCTCCACGATAGTATTTCCTTTTTTCTAAAATGAAGAAAAAATTATAATCACCTTGTTTATCTTTTTTTTTTTTTTTTTTTTTTTTTTTTTTTGTAAAAATAAGTAAGAATATTCAAAATATAATATATAATTGAATGAATTATATAATAATATACACGATTTACGGATATTCCAGTGAATGCAAGTAAAACGGACTTGGATAGTAACAAAACGAAAGTCGAAACGCAAGGTCAATTCAGCAATAACGAAATAAATGTGCGCCGGCATGGTAATCTCGTACAATTAATACTTACGCCATCCTCATCGACAAAAATCAGAAATGCTCTTACATTGCAGGTAAATAATCTTATAAATGTGTGCTCTCTTTCTCGCGCTCTATTTCTTTAAATGTTCTTGCTAAATATATGTATATTTTTGATGCTATATTAGGTGATGCAAGAATTCAGAGAGGCTCTGTCAATATTAAAAAGAGACGACGAATGCAGGGTAGTACTGTTCACTTCTACAGGTACAAGTTTCTGCGAAGGTCTCGATCTTTCAGCATTATTGCATACGAATAAGGAGGAACGACGGTCTGTCGCTCAGGAGTTGGCACACGCTGTCAAGTATGTATTTTTAATATGGAATTAGTACGATTGCTGATATTATAATTATAAAATTATAAACTTTTGTTTTTTGTTTCAAGGGAGTTCATCAAAAGTTTGGCGACTTTTAATAAACCTATAGTGGCTGGTGTACAAGGCGCTGCGATTGGACTCGGAGTGACGATGTTGCCTCTCTTCGATCTTGTAATTGCTAGCGATAAGGCGACATTTTGTACCCCTTATGGAAAATTAGGACAAATCGCTGAAGGAGCTGCGGTCTTTACCCTTTCACACATACTGGGCAGTGCAATTGTAAGTTTCAAGAAGTTTTTGTTTGCAAACATGAAAGAAAGAAAGGAAAACAAATTGCATCTACATTTCGACAGACGAGCGAACTTCTTTTGGGTGGAAGGACCTTAACGGCGAGCGAAGCGTTAAGAGCTGGTCTCGTTACTCGAGTTTTATGGCCTGATCGGTTTCAAGTAGAATTATTACCGTCATTGCGAGCTATGAGTGATCAATCGTCACAGGTAAGTTATGTGTTGTTTCTTGACATAATAATTTTAATAACAAGTTTCTAAAATTATGTATATTTCGTGTGCATATATAATATAATTATATACGTTATATCTAATTATACACTTTTAAAAATTTCTCTCAGATTAATTGAATCATAACGTAATACCTTTGTATCTTTACAAACGGTGACAGTAAGCCATGTAAGCTGGCCCAGAATAGAGCAATTCCTGTACATTTACTTGTGTCCTATTCTTGAAAATGCATAAGTGCTTTTCTGGACATGTGCATCTGTAATACGTTGAATATAAATCAGCTCGTATGTAGCCACAAAACTCCAAAGTTTCACACATTCTTTTCTGCACATTAAAAAATATACATTCAATAAATAAAACATGTTAAGGAAAATTAATAAACTAAAAATATGGAATTAGAGTCTTATATCACTGCATAGCTTAAACGGTTGGTTTTTTTTTACGTAAACAATATCAGTAATTTTATATATGATATTGTATAAATTATATAACAAGAGATTCTTAAATCATGCAGAAATAATAAAGTATAATAGAGATTATTTCTATAAATTATTATCTTGTAAAATGCAAAAATGGATTCTATCATGTTTATTATTACAAGATGTACCTTGACACACTTGAATATTTGAATGAGACCATGCTCTTCGTATGTGTATTTTTGTAGCTTCCAGTAATGTGTTTGCGGACATATGCAATTTATTGTTACATTGTATGGTATTATATAGTTGTTACTTGTATCACTTTCTCCATATACCATCATTGCTTCTTGTCTATGAGCGCAAATTTCTAGTTCCATTATTTGCGTGCAAAACTGTCAATGATGGGAAAGAGAAATGTGACTATTAGAAATATCAATTATAAAAATATTTTACAGATTGTCTCGATATTTTTTGTACCTTTAAAATTGATTTGTTATTGAGTGATACAGTTGAATTATCAATGGTTTTCGTCCATTGCCACGGACATTCTCTTCCATCAGGACAGTGGCAAAGTCTCTCTGTCAAACCGGACATCCAAAATCGGTCGTGAACTACGTTGCATACCTCGTAAGGTTTACAGTGATGTAAATCGCTCTCCCCTTCAACCTGTTTTGACGAATACAATAAAGATTTATCATTTGAAATGTCATACACTTTTAAGAGCGATCGAGTAATATTTACGCGATACAGATTTGTATATACGAACTCCCTTCATATACTTGAATGTAACATTGTTAGCCTTACTGCTGATTATCGTATATACACTTGCACCTATCATGGAAATAAGGAGATAGATTTTCACAAACATATTTACAACGACGTGCGTATTCTTGAATAGACACTGGATTCGATGGTTGCAATCGCGGGATTGATATTAACTCAAATGGCGATAATGCTAATATATTCTCGATTCCACATTTACTCCCACATGACTTGTAATTACGAAACTTGTTAATATTTATGACATCAGGCAGTTTTCTCTGCTTCGGTTGTAAGAGATACAAAAGTGCTATAATGTGTAATAAATCAAAATGGAAAAAGAATTGGAAAAAAATCCATTCTTTCTACAATATTGCACACATACATACATACTTTAACAGATATAAAAATACACTTGTATATATATATATAATTGAGAAAGAGCATTCATACAGCATATTGTAAAGATATATTTGCACATTTATACCATTGCAATTCTCTTATTAATTATATATATCTTTTATAAAAATCTCTGTCATTTCTAGTCTATGGAAGCAACAAAGGCTCTATTACGTCACAGTCTACGGAAAAAGTTAGATGCTGCGCTTGAATCAGAATCATATTTATTGATTCAGCATTGGTGCTCCATGGAGTGCCAGACTGCTATAAAAGCTTACATTGAAGGAAAAATACAATAAATCATGGTGAGCATGTGTTAAAATATCACAATCAATATTATATTTATTAAAATTAATTATTCATTATAGATATTTTATAATTTCAGTGTGCAAGTACTATCAATCGTGAGTCTGCGATATGTGTTAGAGAATGGAACTGATTGATATCTGTGTGGATAATGATACAAAAATTGTACTTCTGATACGACATTCTACGTCAATGCACGATATTCTTTAGATTTAAGATATAAATACTGAATCACACAAAAAGATCGACTATTTTACTATTAGAAAAAATCATTTAGATATAAATTTATTATATATAAATATATGTGTGTATGTATAAACATATATAAACATATAAACATATATAATAT